TTGTTGTTAAGTGCTGTGGAGTCAGTTCCGAGTCATAGCGACCCTGTATAGTGTTTCCAAGGAGCAGCTTGTGGGTTTGAACCGCTGACCTTGTGGTTTGCAGCCCAGTGCTTCTCCTACAGTGACACATCAGAAATTGTATTTAGCCTTATTTTGTTGTTGTTGTTGTTATGTGCCGTGGAGTCGGTTCCGACTCATAGCGACCCTGACCAGGGTTTCCGAGGCTGTAAATCTTTACAGGAGCAGAAAGCCTCATCTTTCTCCCGCAGAACAGCTGGTGGTTTCGAACTGCAGACCTTGTGGTTCGCAGCCTGATTCGTAACCACTATGCTACCAGAGCTCTTTATGGTCTAAGGACATAGCCTTACTTTAGTGCAGAAAAAGAGCCCTGGTGTTGCTGTGGGGTAAGCTGCTAACCATAAGATTGGTGGTTCAGTCCTACCAGCTGCTTATTCCATGGGAGGAAGGTAAGTCTGTCTGCTTCCATAAAGATTTATAGTCCTGGAAATCCTCTATGAGTCAGAATTGACTCGATGGCAGTGGGTTTCAGTGCAAAAAAGGGCATGAAGACTTTTCAGTGGCTTAAAAGCTTCCTGTGCAGCAAGTGATGGTGATTATGATGAGTTTGTTTTGTTGGGTCAGTCATCTGAAAGTGAGGACAAATTTACATAGTATCAAAGGGCAAGCTCCAGTTGTTTTGGATGTTCATAACCCAGGGTCGACCTATATCCCAAAAGGAACTCATTTTTTTTTTTACTGTGGTAGTGGAAAACGTATGACATTTTTGAGTTCAAATTGCAACTAAATGGCTCACTAGCCTCCACCTGACCTTGAGTAAATTACTTAACATCTCTGACCAGCTCTGTACCTGTGACTAATCGACCATAGAGGGTTGCTTTGAGGATGAAATGAGAATCTTATGTAAAGCACCTAGCACGTGAGAGATAACTGATGAATGTTAGCTTCTTCCTTCTAGTCTCCTAAGCTAGTCATTCACTACTGCAACACTTGGGCTCTCTGCTGCTGACTCCAGGGGCCCTTTCCTATTTGGTCTTGTTTGTCCTTCAAATCTGGTTTGAAATCAAGCTTCTTTATTTCTGCTATGTGATTGCCTGCCAGCTAGGCATTCAGAGCCCCCATATTTTCACCGCATCCCAACCTTGTGTAGGCTTGTTTCAAAAGATTACATTTATGGCAACATATCCCTCTTGTCCTCCCTCACCTTACTGTTGTATAGACCAGCCACATTTGGTCTGGATTGTCCTCCTTCCGTCTATTCCAAGACCCCAGTTTCACAGCTGAGATCTCTTCTTATCTTTTCAGGTTACCCCTTTATTGCACTTTATTATGCAGTTCAGCCCCAAACATCGTCTGATGTAGTGACTATTGTCCTTGCTAGTCTCTTTTCTCCAAATAGTGAGCGACCTTCCTGAGATTCCTCCTCGGGAGCGTGTAGACATTTAATAAGCACTTGTTGATTGAGTGAAAATGCCTCTCAGCTGGCTAGGGGCTTGGGCTCTGAGAAATTCTACAACAAAATCACTCTGCTTTTCTCTTAGAAGAGGGCTTTCTCATTCAATGTGTGTTAAATAATTTTCTCTTTTTACAAATATGATCCTCATTTTGAAGACTTGGAAAGGCGCTAAGGAACAAAATTCACAATTCCACCATTCGTAGATAAGTTTTATAGTTGTCTTTAGTGGTAAAGACATATTTTTAACCAATTAAATTATGCTTCAATTACCACTGAGGGGCTAGCATGTGCTAGATTCTACTATATGTGCACTTTCATAAGCATTCTCATTTTATATAAACTTTGAAAAGTAGTAAGATGAATGAAGATGGGGATAGGATTCTTTTGATTCAGTAGTAATTGTTATCATGACTAATTTTTAACTAATTGTTATCGTGACTGTCACAACTGTAAAGGTTGTTGTTGCTGTTAAGTGCTGTCGAGTCAGTTCTGACCCATAGCGACCCTGTATAGGGTTTCCAAGGAGCCGCTGGTGAGCTTGAACCAGCAATCTTGTGGTTCAAAGCGACTTTGCAGTCCAGCTCATTAACCCACAGTGCCACTGTAAAGGTAGAACCTGTATAATTTTAAAGGGGTGGTGGTGGTGGTGACCTGTGGAGTCAGTTCCAACTCAAAGTGACCCTGCAAAAGGTTTCTGAAGCTGTAAATCTTTACAGGAGCAGAAAGCCTCATCTTTCTCCTGTGGATCATCTGGTAGTTTCAAACTCCTAACCTTGAGGTTAGCAACCTAGCTTGTATCCACTAGCCTACCAGAGCTTCTTAACATAAATGGGGGAGTAATTAATCTTACATTCCAGGGACAGAGGACCCTAGGGTCATCAAGAGAGAAGAGCATGAGTGGAATGTAGGACCCTATCCAGAGAAGCAGCGACACCAGATATAGAGGCAGAGATGGGGACATGGAGAGAGAGAGCAGCTGAGGACTCTAGATTCATGGAAAGAGAGGGACTGAGAGCTGGCAGCAGGAGGCAAGCTTACAGAATGCGCCCTTTGGTTGTTTAAATGGTTATATATTCCTGAGTGTTTTTGTGTACATCCAAAACAACAAAAAACAAAAACAGAGGGAACAGAAGCAAATACTGTTGAATGCTGATGCTTGGAGGGGATTGTAATCATAGCAATGAAACAAAATATGATAGGATGAGTGCAAAATTGATATTCCCCCATGTAAACTATCATTCAATTCACAATAAAAGCTTAATTAAAAAAAAAAAGTTCTAGGAAATTGAATAAATTTGTTTTTCTTTACATATCTTCCTGTTTGTTGAAATGACTATTTTAAAAATATCATTTTACCTATGCTGTAAAAGTTTGTGAAGTTATCATTACTATAACTTCAATTTTCAAGTTTAAAAAATATTTGTGTGTCAGTGCAGAGCATGATGCTGGCTGTTCAGAAGAGTGCTAGGGTGGATCTTGAGCTCAAAGAATTAGTAGTCCAACATATAATAGCTGGAAAGGATAAGCACAGCGCCTGTGTAGTAAGCAGTGACTTGGAGATTGGTATCATAGGTTTCTCAGTGATGTAAGGAAACTCCTAGCTCAGTAGTAATGCCATTACCCTACTTTCGTTGCTTAGATTGGTTTATCTTGGAAATACCAGGTGTTGCTTATCCTGAAGATCAAGTGACCAATGACATCAGCCATGTCATCGAGGCCTTTTGAAAGTCCACCTCCTTACAGACCTGATGAATTGTAAGTAAATAATTCTTTAGGTTGTTTTTTCCTTGAAAGTCTATCACATGTGAAAAACAAATGTTTATAACAAACTTTCACCTGCTCTTTTGCTTTTTAAATTAAAACCATTTATGCACTTAGAAATTTAAATTGTACCAAAGAGTAGACAGTGAAAAGTGAGTTTCCTCTTACCTTTAACTTCTAGGATGATAGGTCTTCCTTTGCACAAGCAAGTATTGTCACCAGTTTCTTATGTTTCCTTCAGGAGACAGTCTAGGGCTTTTACTTAGGTATACATGATGGGGCTTCAAGAAGTTTATGAGGAAATTCCATTACCTTTTAATTCCGTGTTTCTATGACATTTTTGAAGCTCTCATATTTATTTCTTTTTGTTTTCTACAAATGGCATGATGCTTCTATATCAATGCCTTCCTTAGATGGTTGTTGGCAACATTTTGCCCGATTTTTTAATGTCTTTCTGCAGATATAATTCACGTATCTTAACAGTTTCCCCATTGAGAGTGTACAACATTTCTTAGAAACACTGCACTGTTTCTCCCTCAGCCCTGTGTTGTTCGCTCGAGTCGGTTCTGACTCAGAGCAACCCTGTAAAGGGTTTCCGAGGAGCAGTTGGTGGGTTTGAACTGCCCGCTTTGCAGTTAGCAGTCCAGTGCTTATCATACAGCACCACACCAGGACTCCCTCTCAGCCCTAGGCTACCACTGATGTGCTTTCTGTCTCCATCTGGGCATTTCATATAAGTGGAAGCATCCAGTATGTGGTCTTTGGTGACTGACTTCTTCCACTTAGCACATATTATCAATTTTAAGAATGATTCCTGCACCACATGGGACCTGGTGACCCCAGGTTGTTGTTGTTAATGCTGTCAAGTCAGTTCCAACCCATAGTGACCCTGAATAGGGTTTCCGAGGAGCAACTGTGAGCTTGAACCATTGACCTTGTGGATTAAACCAGCGTTGCAGTCCAGTGTGTTAACCCACAGTGTCACCCTGTATAAAAGGTCATGTTCGAATGTACTGATTCTGAGTCATGTGGGCAAAAGAACGAATGTTATTGTTCTAAACTGCCTTGGTCCTGTCCTCAGAAATACTTTTACTGGTATGTAGTGCTCTGAGACTTACACGCATTATTCAGATGATTCTAATCTGCAGCACATTTTAAGAACCTCTGCTCTGGAGTGCTAGGATTGCTGTTTGTTGTTGGTAAGTGCCGTGGAGTCGGTTCTGACTCACAGTGACCCTGTGTAGGGTTTCTGAAGCTGTAAATCTGTGCATGAGCAGAAAGTCGTATCTTCTACTCAAAGAGTGGCTGGTGGGCTCGAACTACCAACCTTGTGATTTGCAGTTCGTTGCTTATCTTACAGAGCCACTGCATTCCCGTGTGCTCAGGTAGTGGTTCTCAAACTGTGGTAGAATTGCCATCATCTGGAAACTGTCTAGTACTGTCTAGTCAAGTTCTGACTCACAGTGACCCTGTATAGGGTATCCAAGGAGCAGTTGGTGGATTTGAACCATTTAGTCCACTGCTTATCCTACAGCTCCACACCATGACTCCATCCAGCCATGGGTGGGACCAATAATCTATGTTTTGACAAGTCTTCCAAGTAATTCTGATGCAGATGTCCTTACTGTTCTGTGTGGGCTAGTACTAATAATCGTTTCATTATCCAGAGGTATGTGTAAATTATTCTACCCACTTTTTATGTTCTATCTGTGATAAATCACCAAAAAATGCTAACTGAAATTGTTTTTCATGTGTGTTTCAGCAAACCAAATCACTATGCACCAAGCAATGACGTGTATGGTGGAGACATGCACCATCGGCCAATGCTGTCTCAGCCAGCCTATTCTTTCTACCCAGAAGATGAAATTCTTCACTTCTACAAATGGACTTCTCCCCCAGGGGTGATTCGGATTCTCGCGATGCTCATTATAGTGATGTGTATTGCCATATTTGCCTGTGTGGCCTCCACACTTGCCTGGGACAGAGGCTACGGAAATGGCTTACTTGGGGGTGGTATAGGCTACCCTTATGGAGGCAGTGGCTTTGGTGGCTTTGGAAGTGGCTATGGCTATGGCTATGGCTATGGCTATGGGGGAGGCTATACAGATCCAAGAGCGGCCAAGGGCTTCCTGCTGGCCATGGCTGCCTTTTCTTTCATTGCTGCATTGGTGATATTTGTTACAAGTGTCATAAGATCGGAAATATCCCGAACAAGATCGTATTATTTGACTGTGATCATAAGCAGTGCTATCCTGTGTATCATGCTATTTATTGCCACAATTGTCTACATAATGGGAGTCAACCCAACTGCCCAGTCTTCTGGATCTATGTATGGTTCTCAAATATACGCTCTCTGCAACCAGTTTTATACGCCTGCAGCTACTGGACTCTACGTGGATCAATATTTGTATCACTACTGTGTGGTGGACGCCCAGGAGGTATGGGTACTTTGCTTCTTTTTTTCTTTTTCCTTAGATCAGAGACTCAACTCAGGTTGCAGATTATCAGTTTTACATTCAATAAATCATATACCTTGTTTCATTACAATAATTATAATCCCCTCCATGTATCATCAGTTAACAGTATTTTTCTCTATTCACTTTAGGTCTTTTTTCAAAAACACTCAGGCATATATAACCACCAAAGGGCACTTTCTGCAAGTCTGTCACTCGGCTGCCAGCTCTCAGTCCCTCTCTTTCCATGAATCTAGATTCTTCAGCTGTTCCCTCTCTCCATGTCCTCATCTCTGCCTCCATCTCTGGTATAACTACTTCTCTGGATAAGGTTCCACATTCTGCTTGTGCTCTTCTCCCTTGATGGTCCTAGGGTCCTCTGTTTCTGGACTATAAGATTAACCACACCCACTTGTGGGAACTTTAAAAAAAAATATTGATGTACATGAAGTGTCTGCTTATCTTTTCTATAAATTCACAATAAAAAGTAAAAGAAATGAAACAAAACTAATGTCAAGGTCCCACTCTGGTCAATTAAATAAGAATCTGAGGGCAGGGCTAGGTGTTAGCTAAAATATAATCTGCGTACCATACGATTCACTAATTTAAAGAATAATTCAGTGTTTTGATATAGTCACAGACTTATATAACCATCATGACAACCACTTTTAAAGCATTTTTTTCAATGCAAAAAACAGACCTTATACTCACTGGTAGTCTCTCCCCAGTTCCCCCTACCCCCTCAGCACTTGTTGGTAAGTTCTGTCCAGTCGGTTCCAACTCATAGTGACCCTGTATAGGGTTTCCACAGAGTGGCTAGTAGGTTTGAACTGCTGACCTTGCAGTTCAGACTAACCTTGCAGAGTCCAGTGCATAATCCTGCAGTGCCATACCAGTAAATCTTCCTGCTATAGATTTGCCTATTTCAGACTTTTCTTAAGAATGGAACCATACAATACGTGGTCTTTGTGATTTGCTTCATTCACTTAGCATATGTACCATGTATCAAGCCTCCATTTTCATGGCTGAAAAATATTCCATTGTATGGACAGACCACATTTGTGATATTCATTTATCAGTTGATGGACATGTGTGTTTTTACTTTTTGAGTTTTATGAATAATGCTTCTATGAACACTAGCATACAAGTTTTGGTGTAGATGTGTGTTTTCATTTCTCCTGTATATATGCCTAGGAGTAGAATTACTGACTTATATGACTACCCTATACGTACCTTAGTGAGGAACTGTCAGGTTGTTTTCCAGTATTTCCTTCAGCAACATATGAGGATTTCAATTTCCCACATCCTCAACATTTTGTTGCTGTATGTCTGTTTGATTATAGCCATCGTAACAGGTGGGAAGGAGCCCTGGTTGTACAGTTGTTAAAGTGCTGGCCTGCTAAGTGAAAGACTGGAAGTTCAAGCCCACCAGCTACTCCATAGGAGAAAGATGTGGCAGCCTGCTTCCTGTAAAGATTGACACCCGTGGGAACCCTATGTGGCAGTTCTACTCTGTCCTGGAGAGTTGTTATAAGTCAGAATCAACTGGAAAGCAACTATTTGTTTTGTTTTTTTCTGTGGGGGTGAAGTGGTAGGTAATCTTGTTATGTGTGAACCTCATTGTCTCTTTGGTTTGCATTTCCTTAATGGCTAATAGTGTTCAACATCGATTGTCATGTGATTCTTGAAGCGTCTATTCAGATCCTTTGCCCGTTTTTTTCAGTCTCTTGTGCTTTTCATGTTTTCTAAGATGGCTTTATTTAATCCAAGGTCACAAAGATGTACTCCTATGTTTTCTAATAGGTCTATGGCTTTTAGCTCTTATATTTTAGATTTTTATTATTATTATTTTGAGTTAGTTTTTGCACATACCGTTAAGAAGGGCTCCAACATTCTTTTGCATGTGAGTGTTCAGTTGTCCCAAAATCATTTATTGAAAGGATTGTTCTTTCCCTGTTAAATTGTCTGAATTTCAGTTCTGTTTTATTGTTGTGTAGGTCTGTTGGAGTCCTGGTGTGGCACTGTGGGTTAATATGATGGACTGCAAAGTCAGTTTGGACCATAAGCTTGGAGGTTCAAGCTCACCAGTCACTCCTGGGAAATCCTACACAGGGTTGCTATGGGTCAGAACCATCTTGATGGCACTTAACAACAACAACAATATTGGCTATTTTGAGTCATTTTCATTTCCATGTGAATTTTAGGGTCAGCTTGTCAATTTATGGGGAAAAAAAATGCTAGTTAAATTTTTCTCCCCATTCTTGAATGTGTTTTTAACACCTGCATTTATTGATTGTGAGGAATACAGATGTTCCAAAAGCACGAACAGACAGTGGTGTCCTATATTTCAGGGTTCTGAATATAACAAATGTATCAAACTATGAATCTGTACTCAAGGTAGACAGAATTCCATAGCCCAACCACAGTGGGGAGTCAGATCCCCGGTCCTTCAGATGGCATCTGGAAGGGGGAAAGTGACATATATTAACAAATGAGACATTTCTGAGTTATTTATCTTTTCTCCCCTGATATATACATATTTTTGCCCTTTACACAACTCAGGGATTCCCATTCTTTTATCTGATTGAGCCATACTTTTGAGGGGAAATATTTTCATTATAAATGTGGATTTTCACAGTATTTGTTGTTGCCATTCATTACTAGTTTTCTGATTACCGGGAACCTGTATTCTTTGAAGAAGAATATCACTATCAGATAGACAGAAGTGGCACCTCCAGTTACTCATGAACTATCCAGGGCAGAGCCTTGGTACCTGCCTCAACTTCAGGTGTTCCCTTGGGCTAATGTGCAACTTGATACCTCTTAGACACAGGGAGAAATGTTAAAAATAGCAAGTTTCCTTATAGACTTTTTCTAGTTAAGTACTCTAAAGACTCCTGAAACAGAAGCTTGCCAGATCAAATGAATCATTACTCCATTTGCTCTGATCTATAACATGGTTAGATCCATGCCCTCACAATTTATCACTCTCTGAAATTAACTTTCACTGTAAAAAGGTTTACTAAACATGCATTAGCAGAGCATAGAACTGCTTCTTTCTAGGTTGACTCCCCTGTGGAAAATTTGCCTTTCCACCCCAACATACAGAATCAGAATTTACATTTTAACAAGATTCCCAGTTTATGCCTACATAAGAAGCTCTAGTATTACATGAACAAGGTGATAGCATGACTAGGTTCTTAAGTGCTGTCAAGTTGGTTCTGACTCATAGTGACATGTACAGGGTTTCCAAGGAGCAGCTGGTGGGTTTGAACTGTCAACCTTGTGGTTTGCAGTCCAGTGCTGATCTTATAGCGCCACACCAGGAGTACTGATTAGGTGTGTTGTTATTGTTAAGTGCCATCGAGTCGATTCCAACTCATAGCGACCCTGTATAGGGTTTCCAAGGATCAGCTGGTGAGCTTGAACTGCCAGCCTTGCAGTTCAAATGGCTTTGCAGTCTAGCACATTAACCAACAATGCCACACCAGGATTCCATTGACTAGGTATAAAAGGTATTTAATAATACTTCTGAGTAAACATTTTCAAACCCTTTAGAACTATACCAATGATTACGTTAATTACTGGCTATTCTCATCTGATTATAAAAATATAGCCCCCTAAGAACACAGGAGTCCTCTTGTTGCACTGCAGGATAATGCGCTGGACTGCAAAGTTGGCTTGAACTGCAATGTTGGTGATTCAAGCTCACCAGACCCTCTTTGGAAACCCTATACAGGGTCGCTATGAGTTGGAACCAACTTAACAGCACTTAACAACAACAAAGAACACAGGCTTTGGAACCTGTAGAATTCTAAAATGGAAATAATATACTATATTTTTATTGCAAATAATGCATGTTTTATATAGTTTTTGCAAATTGTAACCCCGTCGTGTGTTAGTGTAACCCCCTTGTGTGTTAGTTTCCTATGTGTATTATGTGTGTATTGTATATGTGGGTGCATTCCAATGTGACAATTTGGTAATGCCTAACTTTTAGCATCTTCTGAGGATTGAATTAAGGTGTTGCTAGCCTTAGCCCACTTGGTGGGGATTAGCTTTTATTATAGTACTAAAACACTGAACCATTTGCTTCTGTATTATCTTAGTTAAACCATAGATAATTGATAGTGCCTTCAATGATGAGGATTCTAATAATTTGTATAGGACCAATTGGGATAAGGTAAGCAAATAAAACTTAATTATGTTTATCTCTTTGTAGGCCATTGCCATTGTGCTGGGATTCATGGTTATGGTGGCTTTTGCTTTAATAATTTTTTTTGCTGTGAGAACTCGAAGTAAGATAGACCGTTACGACAAGTCGAATATTCTGTGGGACAAGGAACACATCTATGATGAGCAGCCTCCCAATGTCGAAGAGTGGGTAAGTGTAAAGACATCAAGACACTTTCAGTCTTTTATTAGTCTCCTAGTTGTGTCTGTCTGAGCTTGACTTTCATTGCTTTATTAAACGTTGTTCTTGGAATTATTGTCTATGTTTGTTTCAAAAGTTGTTTTTACTTAGAATTTCAAGAGAGTGAGATAAGTAGAAATTGTTTCACTACAAGTTAAAAATCAGATTTTTATTTTCCTGTTATGTATCTAGACACTGAAAAAAGAAGTAGCTTCTAAGTGAACTATGCAGAAAGAACTTGACTTGTGCAGAACACATACAACCCCTTCCACCCCACCTCCTTTATTTTGTCTGCTTACCCTTTTAACTATTAGGAATAAAGCTATGAATATTCAGATGCCAGTTTTTGTGTGAATGCATGTTTTCATTTCTCTTGGCTACGTGCCCAGGAGTGGAATTACTGGGGCACCTGGTAACTCTGTGCTTAACTTTTTGAGGAACTGCCAGACTGTTTCCAAAGTGGCTGTACAATTTTACATTGCCATCAGCAGTGGGAAACATTGGAAACCTTGCCCAGGGTACTGTCGAAGGTCAAGGTTCCAAGGGTTTTTGGAATAGTTGTAAGTGTCAGATATTTTTAAAATTTTCAATAGATAATAGTATGCCAAACCATTGTGGCTTATTGTTGTTGTTAAGTGCGATTGAGTTGGTTCCGACCCACAGTGACCCTGTATTGGGTTTCTGAGGAGCGACTGGTGAGCTTAAACTGCCAACTTTATAATACAAAGCAACTTTGCAGTCTGGCACATTAACACTAGGACTCCTAGTGGTTCATTATGCACTGACATTTACCTATAAAATATATTCGCTAGGCAGAGAGAGATTAGATCTACTTCCTCTTTTGTTTATACTGTTCATCATACCAGTAGGTGACTTCCTGTATGTTCTGATTTGGCAAATGCCTGGAAGGTCCCTCTCACCAAAGGATCTCCCCAATCTGCTGGCCACTGATCTCTCAACTGTCTTCAGGTATATTTGGAAGGAGGCTTTCTCCAAAACCGGAGCATCCTTTAGCTCTAGCATATGTTAAGTCTGAGTTTTGAAGACATCTAGAAATGTAGGTGAAATCTTTTCTAGTTAAAGGAGCAGTAATGAAACTGTTTTGGAGAGGATATGTGGCATGTATGTTGTTGTTGTTAAGTGCTGTGGCATGTATATGGCACCTAAATGATAGATTTCCAGTTTTCTGCCCCTGCTCTCTATTTGAGGCCCTTTTCCTCCTCTCCACCCCCTATGTTTTTTTCCCAATGGTTTATAAGGTGTGAAGGTATTAGGGAGTGCTTTCTTTTGACCTTTAGCTCCAGGCAAGGCCACCTGTAGATGGAATAGGACAGTCTATTGTGAGCTATGAAGTAAATGTTTCGCTGAGAGTTTCTGGGTGTGTCTGTTTTCACTGGCTTGTGGATTTGTTTACTTAAGGTTTCGAGAGCCTTGGAAAAAAGCACACACACAAACAACTCAAGGGAACCCGGTGCCAATCCTGGTGAACTCTGGCCCATAATCTGATTTTATTGTCATGAAGGTTTCATCAGTTCTAGGTACTTTTGAAAATTGACCAGAGGCTAGCCGTAGTAATTTATAGAGGTGGTGATGATGAATCTGAAAGAACTACTTAACTTTCAAGACACTTTTATAAAGCTTTCTCACCAAATCTTGAGAAACTTGATTGCATTACATTGTTTCACGTGTACTTTGTAGTTTCTTTATTGTTGTTGTGCCTTCAAGTCGATTCCAACTCATAGCGACCCAGTATAGGGTTTCCAAGGGGCTGCTGGTGGGTTTGAACCTCAACCTTGACGCTCAAATCTACCTTATGGTCTAGTGCTTATCCTATAGCGCCATGCCAGAACTGGTTTCTTACTAGTAAAAAATAAAACCTGTTTTTGTGATATGAAACTTAAAAGAATAACCTATTGGATATCAGATGTGTGGTTTTGACCAAAGTAATATTTTATATAATACTTTAAAAATTCAGACCCGTTGCTATTGTGTCAATTCTGACTCATAGCAATCGTGTCGGAATAAAACCACCTTTTAGAGTTTTCCAGGCTGCACATGTGTACAGAAATAGACTGCTTCATTGTTCTTGAGGAGCAGCTGGTGGGTTCAAACTGCCAGCCAACCTTTCAGTGAGCAACCAAGCTCTGTGTCACTAGGGCTCCGTATACTTCTTGTTGTGTGCTGTTAAGTCAATTCTGACTCCTAGAAACCCTAAAGGACAAAGTACAATTGCCCCATACAGTTTCCCAGGCTGTAATCTCTATGGGTGGAGTCCTGGTGTGGCACTGTGGGTTAATGCACCAGACTGCAAAGCTGTTTGAACTGCAAGGTTGGCGATGCAAGCTCACCAGCTGGTCCTTGGAAACCCTATACAGGGTCGCTAAGGGTTGGAACTGACTCGATGGTATTTCACAACAACAACAATCTTTATGGGAGCAGATCACCAGATCTTGTCTCCCATGGACCGGCTGGTGGGTTCATCTATTGATTTTTCTTTTTTTTTGGTAAGCAGCTTCACCAGGGCTTCTCATATGATACTTATACTTGTTGTTGTGAAGTGCCGTCGAGTCAGTTCCAACCCATAGTGACCCTGTATAGAGTTTCGGAGGAGCAATTGGTGGGTTTGAACCGTGACCTTGAAGTCCAAACTGAGCTATCGGTCTAGTGCATTATCTTGCAACACCATACCAGGACTCTAGGGTCATATGATGCTTTGTTGTTGCTGTTGTTAAGTGCCATTGAGTTGGTTCTGATCCCTAGTGACCTTGTATAGGGTTTCTGAGGAGCAGCTGGTGGTGGTAATGTGCCAATGAGTTGGTTCCAACTCATAGCGACCCTGTACAGGGTTTCCGAGGCTGTAAATCTTCATGGGAGCAGAACGCCTCATCTTTCTCCCATGGAACAGCTGGTAGTTTCAAACTGTTGACTTTGAGGTTTGAAGCCCTATCTTAACAACTATGCTACCAGAGCTCCTTAATGAGTACTTAAGGTGGGAAAAAAAACTGAAGTAAATGAATTCGTTACTTAATATTCATTTAATCCACTGTACAAATTAAGATAGTTCTAGACATGCACTATCTTGTTACATCTTTCTGTCTTCTGGGAATAATAATGACTTTAAGTTTGCAACACCTAGACTTCAATAGTTTCAGCATTTTAAAGAGGTTTGGCCCTTTTGTGTTACATGTCAGAAAACCTACAACTTTTTTATTCCCTGTCCCCAGCACAGTATATTCTCTGCCTGGCTAGGAATTTTACATTTTCAAATTTTTGTCTTTTCCCTTATCTGGGTATTTTGTTCTTTGTAAAGTAAACAGGCCCTGTTTGTACAGTGGCTGTTACCTGGGATAGGCAGGTACTCAACATATTAAGCATTTTAGGATTCTTTTCATTAAATTTTCAGAACTTTTTTTTTTCCTGGTATGTCCTTAAACCCCAGATCTAATTGTTGTTTTCCTTGCACTTTAAAACAATGTTTTTTTCTGACTGTAAGTATGGTTGGTTGGTTATGTGCCGTGAAGTCAATTCCAACTCATAGCGACCCTGTACAGGGTTTCTGAGGCTTTACAGGAGCAGAAAGCCTCCTCTTCCTCCCATGGAACAGCTGGTAGTTTCGAACTGCTGACTTTGAGGTTAACAGTCCGACTCATAACTACTATGCTACCAGAGTTCCTTGATTATAAGTATAGAAAAAATTTTAAATACAGTGACATATAGAGAAAATTCAGCTACCCTTACCAAAACAAAAACTCACTGCCACGGAGTCAGTTCCAACTCATAATGACCCGCTATAGGGGTTCCAAAGCTATAAATCTTTATGGAGTAGAATGCCTCATTGGTTTTTCCTGTAGGGCAGCTGGTGGCTTCTGAACTGCCAACCTGGAAGTTAATAGTCTAATGCTTATCCTATAGCACCGCCAGGGCTCCTTTCAATATTACTAGGTATTTTTTAAAATAGAGGAATATAATGGAAAAAAATGGTCCCACAATCTCATCATTCAGACACCTGTTATTTGTATTGGTAGCATAAGCACTGGAGCTGACCACTAGGTTGCGGTTCAAACCCACTAGCTGCTCCTCAGTAACCCACCAGGGTCCTAACTATGAGTTGGAACCGACTCAATGGCACTTACAGCATCTTGTGTCTTTTAGTTTGTTGTGTTTTGTACGAAGTTCTTATATGAAAAGAATACAAGTTTATTACAGCAAACTGCAAACACTATAGAAGAATAATAGAGAAAGAAAGAAGTGGAATTTTCTTCCCCTCTCATTTGTCCCTCAATATCCAAGGGGGATAATAATAGTACCTACTTCATAGCATTGTTGCAATGGGATAATATTTGTGCCTTGCTCATAGTAAATAATATGTTGTTCTTTTTAATAATTTAGTGTTAATTTTTGCAAAAAAGTGATGATACCAACCATATCAATCCCTCCCACAGCACTGTCCACTTCTCATCTGGGTTCAGTGAGTCACTGCAATGACCACACACAACTCACAGAGTGTACTCACAGTTATGGGTTTTATTAGTAAAGTTGTTGTGGTTAAGTGCCATCGAGTCGGTTCCAACCCATAATGACCCTGTATAGGATTTCTGAGGAGTGGTTCTTGAGTTTGAATGGCTGACCTTGTGGTTCAAACTGACCTTGCAGTCCAGCGCATTAACCTAAAGCGACACACTAGGACTCCATAGTGAAGTTGTTGCTATTGTTGTTGTGAAGTGCCGTCAAGTCAATTCCGACCCACAGCGACTCTGTATAGAGTTTCCAAGGAGCAGCTGGTAAGCTTGAACCATCAACCTTGCAGTTCAAACAGCTTTACAGTCTGGCACATTAACCCACAACGCCACACCATAGTGAAGTTAGCAGGTTGCAATTCACTGTGCTCAGGGTAGCACAGTGGAGATTGTAATCATTTGCAATGAAATGATGGTGTAAAGCTGATGTTCTCCCATGTAAACTGTCGCTCA